TTCACACACACACACACAAACACACATAACTACACACGCATATAACCTAATCAGCTACCCCAAACCGTTGTGAAGTCGCTCTACAGCTAAGCTTTTGGCTTTATTGTTTGGCTTCTCGCAGCTAATTCATTCTTCTTTCTTCTGCTGCTTTGTTTGCATTTATTTCCTTTGTTTTGCTATTTACAATTATGAGCTCATACATACAGACATACCGTTTGTTGATAGCTGTGGTTTTTATGGCCGAAGGCGCTGTTCGGTTGTTGCTTTTGACGTTAAGTCAGATCATGTCAGCCGGATCAGCGGGCGTCAGCGATTCTAGCACTTTTGACATTTCCATAATTACGCTCACTTCTGAGCATTTTGGCGCACTGGCGCCATTTAAACGCTACACCCAACAAATGCTGGGTATTTACACAAGCCCAAACTACTTTGAAATTTATAGAAATTAATTGAACCACCTGGGGTCATAATGGCAAATACCATTTACTTAATAATTGCAATAAGTTCGAAACTAATTTGGATTGTTCAGAATTCAATAGATGCCATTATATTCAATGTGATTAGCTCAAGAATGTCAGTGGCCGCAAAGTAAACCAATTAGATATCCGTTTCACCGCAACGAATATATTTCAGCTCATTCTATATATATATATATATACAAATGTGTAACTAAGTAGCTATCATTATTAGTGGAAGGATCTTAAACTTAAACGCCTTGGAGTAGGACTGTGCTACAAAAAATATTATTAAGTTAGACAACGGTTAATTTAGAAAATTATTGTGAGTAACAAAGAAAACACTTCCACGAGGATCAGGAAGTGATGGAAGAAAAGTATAAATGATGATGGGGTCGTTATAAGAAAACTCTTAAAATGCATTTAATTGGAACATTGCATGTGCGTTCTACATTTTTCTTTCTGCCTGCTTCGATGTATCTTCATTTTTTCATAAAGAACTGACCTAATAGATACATCAGTTATTTTGTGTCAAGGATGGACTCAACGACTCTATTTCCACCAGGTGAATCTTTCATTTTTGAGTAATTTAACATTTAAGCCCTTCTTGATTGATCTAAAATCTGAAAAAAGGTTTTTCCCCGGTTGGTCGGAAGGAAGAACAACTAGCACATTTCAGTAAAAAAAAGTAAAGCTCTGGAAGCAATCTGGCAAAAGAAAGCCAACGTAATTATTAGCTCGTATGCAAACTCGAGACACTCGGTCTGGGGAAGCTCAGGCATACATTAATGCAAGGCGTAAGTCACTTTTCGATTTTTTTGTAGCGAAGCTCTATTTAATTGTAATAGAAGAGACTTCTCCACTTTTTTAAGTAAGACAGTGAAGAAGTCCTTTATCTCTTCCTACCCTAAAATGAGATGCGACATGCATTCTTTCTCTTCAAAAGCTTCCATCAATTCTTACGGTCAGGCCGGATTCAGTGCTCACAGCGCGACTGATAAGTGTGTCGAGGTGAGCACCTCTTTTGAAAACTCGTTCTCTGTAAGCTCAGAAAGGTAAAGGAGAACCCCTTTTTTGGAACTATCGGTGATCGAATCTTTAAGTAGAAGATTGCTTAAGTCGATACACCTAAGTAGTAAGTAGCGCTTTTTAAAATGGATAAATAATATCGAACAAAAAATTTGTGTCAAGTTTTGTATTTCCAACCAAATTTCGTGTGCGGAATCGTTGCGATGCAAAGCCCTCAATTACGGTCGAGGAATGGTTGAAAGCATGCCACGTTCTGGACGACTTTTGACCTCTTCAACTGATGAACATATTTTAAATGTGAAGATTATGTTGTTTGAAATTCGTCAGGCAAGTGTTAGAGAGATGGCAAGAGACCTCGACATCTGCCTCGCGAGTCCGTTCGAGTGATTTGAATCGCCGTTTTTGATATGAAACGCGTTTTACTTGACTCGTTCTATAAAGCTGAATTTTTTTTTCCAAAAAGAGTAAGTTAAATAGGCATATTTGGACATGCTGGGACGAGCGAATTCTGATAACACATTCATGGAGAGCCTTATAACTGCCGATGAGACATGGGTTTATGAGTTTGACATGCAAACAAGTCAGCTATCACCAGAATTGCACACATTTTCAGTCGATCTTTATGGATCTGGCCGAGTCAGATTTGGTCTTGAGTGTATGAAAAAATAAAAAATAAAATAAAAAAATGTTTCTTTCAATATTTTACAATAGGTATGTCCCGTATTGAGGTATCCGCACACTCTCTCGTATCAAATTTGACTTGCTAACTTTATTTTTGCTTTCAATTGTAATGCGATTCACAATTAATCCATAAAATTAGTACATAAGTATAGAAATTGAGTCAATCTATTTTAGTAATATAGTCTATTAGTAGTTTTATGAAAAGTGGCCGATGTTTTTTAGTAGTGTTCACTGAGCTTCAGTTCACCAAAGGCTTTATTTAAGCGATCAGTAGGGTAATCTAACCTGTTTTTTTTTTTTTTTTTTTTTTTTTTTTTTTTTTTTTTTTTTTTTTTTKTTTTTTTTTTTTTTTTTTTTTTTTTTTTTTTTTTTTGACATTTGTTTTCGTTTTCATTTTCATTCTGCAATAGAACTTTTATCACATATCTTGAGGTATATCGTGGAGTGTATAAACAATTTTTTTTCGACATTTTTAATGACATCTGTCGCAGAAATGGCTGGGTGAATGAGATGCGTTTTTTCACTAGCGGACACTTTTCGCATGTTTGATTATCTGAAACACAAAACCCAACTAATTCTTAAAAAGTACGTGAATGGTTATTGTCAATACTAGAATGCTCAAAAATGTTGATAAATAAAAAAGATACTTTTTTTTAAATTTTCCCCATATGTTTTTACATAAATTTTGTCATAACATTGTCAAAAAATTATAAAAAATTATGAATCTAGTAGGAATAATAGCAAAATTAAACAAATCGGCATGAATCATGTCCGCCAATTTAAAGAAGTGGGTGTTTGAGAAACACGCGTTTAAAGTTTTAGGTGTGCGCTCCGAGCGGTCCGAACGTCAAGCGGTATTATTATTTTTTGGCCTTTTTCGAAACGTCCCAATGGTAAAGTGAGTTTCTACATTAATTCTAAGGCTATAAAGGAACAGAAAATTAAAAAAAAAAAAATAATAATAATAATTAAAAACGGATTACCCTACTGACCCGATAATATAAAAAGTAAGTTATTATATGTATGTTGTGCCCTTTTGAAAGTACGTTCAAAAATTTGCTGATACATTATGAATATTTCTGAAGATACAAGTTGATAATTGAAGATTGAAATTAAGATCAGGTTGTAGTTCCTATTAAATAAACTTATACATATTTATTACTTCTTTATCGTTTGTATGCTTAGGATTCTGTGAGATAAGCAACCACTTTTCAGTTTTATATTATTATACATACAATATTATATTTAAATTAACTCTTTGTATACATATATATATATGTATATAAATTGGTATTCATATATAATGCGTATGTATGTAAATATACATATGTATGTATAACATCAACTTAATGGACTACCAACCATGAAAACCGGTCAGCGCAAAGAGCAAAGGCAACAGTTGCTAGTCCAACAAGAGCTTAACTTAAAGCCAAAAGCCAACAGTTGAAGTGAAGGCGCTAAAGCATATCCATAGCACACATATGTATGTTTGTATGCATGTGTTGATTATTATCTTAAGTTAAAATACAAAGAATAGAAAATGAAAACCAACTCGGCGTAATTTTTGAGCAATCAAACATATTTTGTAATTTGTAGCCCTTTCAAATGTAATATACGTTTATACACATACTTATTACATACACATACATATTAGCATCTGCATACATATATACATACATAAACACACACATACATACATACTTTATATGCATATGCATAAATATATAGTTGTATGTATGTTAAAACAATATAATATATATATTTCCACCACATGCATATGTACACAATCAGTACTCAGTTAGTCCATTAATGCCTTAACGCCATTTCTTATTAATTGTTTACATATGCGCTGGTATTTATGTAGGTACATTTGTGTGTATTTAAGCGTTCACCATAAGCTTCTCATAAATATTAAGTTTAATTCTTCCAACATGATTTAAAGCTGCTGAGAAATAAATAGCTAAACAGCTGAGTATGCTAAAGAAAGGCGCATAAGTGAAAGTTTTCACAGCGTTTATATACATACATAAATATATGTACATATATACACTCACAGCTATTATGGTAATTTGTTAGGCCAGCTGTTCGACTTAGCAGTTTCTACCTGAGTGCAGATCCACACACAACAGACCAAACATTTCTACAAACATGTGAAGAAAGTGCGACCGTCAACAAATCTTCGGATATCAAAAGTTAAACTGCAATGAAAAATGTTTTCTCTATGTTTATGTCTATATGAAAACAAAAACCAAAATAAACTTTGGGTGATATGGCAATAAGTAAAATTTCGCCTTTTTTAGTTAAACAAATCGGGTGTTGATAGCAGTGACAACTGACGGGGTTAGGCAAGCCTCGAGGCTCTGTTGATGATAGCGATTCCGAAGATTGGCCCAGAAGCTGAAATTTTGTATGAAAACAGCAACCTAGAAGTCATTTAAACTCTTAAAGACAGTCTGAAAGTGTGATTATAATATAATATTATACGAGCTATTTTTTCTTTCAAACCCGTCAAACTAGTCTAAAGCCCTAAAAAAGCTTTATTAACTTCAACATTTTAATCTGGTATTCGTAGTAAGGAAAAGGAAGGAGCTCGTGTATCATCCTTACAGACTGAAATCTGATATTATAGAAAAATCGAAAGAATACATTTTTGACTTTGAATTATTATTTTTTTTTTTTACTATTTATTAATTTTTCTAACACTAAACACATTGCATGCAAAATGGACTAGTTCCGCATACTAAAAATAATCACTTTTTAACTAAAAGGAACAACTTCTTAACTGCTTCTATCCTTATAACTAAACAACCCTGCTTCCTCTTAGCTCTGCACTTACTACGCGCTCTTGAGTGGATTGCTGTTTGGACTCTGCTTTGCTGCGGCTTTCAAGCTGCTGATTTGCTTGCGCAACTGCTCCTTGAATTGCAGCTCCCGTGTGATGGCCTTCAAATCGGCGTTGCTGCACTTTTGTATGTTCTGTATGTTTTCGGTGATGAGATGCGTGGTCAGCGCCACTTTCGATTTGCTCAGACGCAATGGCTGCTGAGTTGGACGCCGCAGCTCCTCCAAATGCATGAAAACGTCGTAGGTGAGCGAAGTACCGGGAGTGGCTTGCTGTTTGCTGGACATTGCTATGATTTGTTGTGATGATTTTGTCGTTAGTGATGATATTAACTGTTACACGTAGTTTTCGGAGTTTTTCGTTGTTCTTAAGACAGTTCGTTTACTTTAAGAGAAGAATTGATAATGCGTTGCAGAGGTGAATGTACCGAGAATTTATAACAACTTCTGTTCGCCGCAAGGATACCATATTTTTTTTTTTTTTTAATCTACCTACGATTGCATAATGTACGTTGCCAGTGTAGTAGTCCGTATATGAAAAATAGGTAATATCTGCATTGGGGATATATAAATGTATATATTTTTTAAGGTATTCATTACAAGCTTTACGTGGCAGAACTAAAATGAGGCGTTTATAAATTTAAGGTCACATTATTGAAGAATAGCCAGAGTAGACTGATATAGCAGCTAAGCAAAATAGGTCCATTGTCAAAAAATGTCCATTCATCGAAAAACATTTTATGAAATACATTAGCTAACTTAAACTATATAACTACTATAAGTGTGTAGTATATCGCACAGTGGACTCAGTAAAGAAAAATGTCTGAAGTTAACAAATTTTTTAAGTAGCATCAATCAGGTGCGCTGCTTGTAATGTTTCTAAATTGAAGACAAAATTCTGAAGAACATTTTCGATCCATTTATTCAGACGCGGAAAAAATGGCGACAGAACTGAAAATTGATGATAAAAATCATGAATCTGCCGCCGACAAACAAGACGTTAAATTTTCTGAATGAGCACTTCTAGAGAAGTATTGGATGGATTGACTGAGTTTGCTGCTTCCAGAAAACATTATTGACTGTTTGATGGAAGGTAAACTTGATCACTGGCAGTGTTATTGGAGGCAGAAGCAAAGCACAAAAGACAACAAGTTACCATAGTTTTTTCTTCGCATATTCTGCATACTTTCTATGACGAATGCGAGCTCCGAACATGCTTCAAGACACTGCAGAAGAAGTACTCGAAATATTCTCGAAACTTGGACCACTTTTATTTCGTGCAATTTCTCTCTTATATAATATTTATACTATATACGATTTATAATATATAATATATTTTTTCCATTTAGTAGAATTTGATATTAGAAAATCGATTTGATTTGATTTCGATTTTTTCACCATTAAACTGTATAAAGATTGTTATATTTAATATAATACTCTTCATGTTTTAAGTAGATGTCAAACTATTTCTGGATCCGCCCCTGGTATTGCTAACGATAATACGTGTAGACTAAGCAGAGAAGCAAGCATAAGACGCTGAAACAAGTCCACTGTTTCCGTTCGGCGTTATCTAGAACTCAGCTTGGATATATAGAAGCTTCGCAGTTAAAGGAACTGAACGCACTATTAGAATTTGATAACAAGTCTCTATTAAACTTCGCAAAAAGCGTTGACGCCTATAGGCGGTAAACTTCAGATTGTATTAAAGTGAACCAGGATCGCTAAGTTTATATATAGCATGACATATGGCCAGTATAACCTATGCTAGCCTATAATTCACCTATTACTTTGCTTTTGTGTAGAAATTGTAATAGTCGTGTTAGTGAGTTGTTAATCGAAATTAAAAAAAAAATTGCATTACTTTCTGACCTCCATAATTTTTGCATTTTAATTTTGCTATTTGTCTAATGTTTCCATCTTCACGCTACCGTGCAATCAAACCTGTTTTTCCTTGAACCAAATGTTCGTCGGAGAATCAATGAATTATTATAATTATTATAATTTTTTTTTTTTTGAGTTATTTCTCCTTTCTAAAGCATAAAGTTGCGCTCTCCATCTTCTTCTTTATTGGCGTAGACAACGCTTATGCGGTTATAGTAGTTATTCTACTAAAACTGAGAATGAAGTACAGTTAGCACCAAGATCAATTACTTTTCCTATACAAAACGAACCAAAATATTTATGCCCACACATAAAACTAAGCAACAAATACACATTTCTTTTACCCCTGCTTCAATGGCACAGTTTTGTGTTTAATGTGGGGAAATCCCAATTATTGGCATTTAGTCTAAAACCATTCTCGTGTAATGAAAACATTTTACCGGCTGCTTAATGTCACTGTATTGTTCGGGTATTTCTGTTGTTCTCGAAGTGTTTCCAAACGTTAGCATTGTTGCCGACAGGTCTAAGCAAAACATCAGCAAGTATTTCATATACTTATAATTCACGCATACACACACTTACAAATGTTTGTTTAGCGGATTACGAATATGCAGAATCCTGCTGAACGTCAGCGGTCACAAACCAAAACAATGCAAAAATATTGACATCACTTCACCCTCACCTTTAAATCCGCCTAAAGTTGTGTCTAGACACGACCGCCACCCGCACATTGTTCGTGTGGCGACACGGCGCTGCACTTAATTGCCATTTTCGCGGAAACGCGCAACGGTCCTGCGTCAATTTTTACTACACCTTTCCATAAATGCCTTTGCGTGAAGTCTTTTGTTGGCTAAAGTGATTTTCGGCTTCTGAGCCGATGCTGCGCTCTAGAAACGCCCAGCAAAAAGGTGTTTGCGGATTAAGCGGTCCTTTCGCGCAAAGATATGCGCAAAGATATGCGCAAGGATATGCGCAACCGCGAGAGAGAGCGTAGCTCGCGGCTGACTCGGTGAACGCGGAAAACACAGATGTGAAACAATACAACAAAGGAGGCCTACGGCCAGGCCAAATACACCTTGATACATACAACCACGGGTACAGTTGCGAAACAAGCTGCGGCCAAGGCGCGAGTATAAAAACGCACAGCATGCTAACAAGGACTCATCATTCGTGTGTTAGCCGCTAAAGTGTGCCGTCCACCGTCTGACGGAAGTATTACTACTTAAAATAGAATATTTGCAGCTCAAATTATTAAGTCTTCAATTAATAAATAATAATATTTGTCGGAACAGCTACTTAAACTTAACAACCGAACTTAAACAAACAACGTCTTCACCACACCAAACCAAATGGGTTCCTTAATGCGCAAGTGCACCACCAGCAACAGCAACAAAAGCAACAGCAATGCAAACAACAGTAGAAACAAAGCATCGGTAGGCTATCAACTCTTTATGTATCAGGAGGAGCTGCGCCGCGGCAATACACGTGGTCTAAGCGTCGCCAAATCGAAGATCTCTCTCACTGAGTCCCTAATACGCGAGAACGTGCAGAATTTAAACAACCGCAGTGACGAAGATCTGCGCGTCATAAGTCGAGAAATGTCATTCAAGAAGCATCTGCAGAAGCAAGTCTCACGTTATTCAAAGCTTATCAAATTAGCAATGGGTGTGGAGCGGAAGGCCATCAAAGATTCTACGTCTATTAGTAGTACAGCGGTACATTCGCGCGTGAAGTAGTCGTCATCTATTATTTAAGCATCTCTGTTAACTTAGTACCGCTGTGATTAATTGTCAAGTTATTTAGTTTTAAATTGTATAATTATTAATTTATTATTTATAAATTGGGTTATGAGTTTATAGTGTTAAAATCTTGTATAGAAAACTGAACAAACATCACTTGCATCAAGTTGAAATACCAAAGCGTGTCTTTGAACTTGTTTTTTTTTTATTGATAAGGTTACTTTCTTGGTATAATTATGCTCGCAATATGCTTAACTGTTTCGTCCAACTCGAATATAATACCGAAAGCTTAAGAGGCTATGCCATTGTGACACTTTCAAAAAACCATATTTATTTTATTTTTACTTTTTTCGATAGTTTATATTTCCAAAAATATACTGTGAAATCCGCAAGGTCGTATCTTGAATATTTTTTGAATGGCGGCGTTCTAAAGAGTGACCACTCGCAGGTACTATCGTATATGACTGAGACTTTAAACGCGTTTTTCTCGAAACGACATTTTTCAAAATTGCTGACATCATAGCTCAACGAGAAACTGACCAGTTTAAAACTGAGCATTGTTAAATATATTTACTATACAATGACCTACGATCTTTTCGCACTTTGTTTTTGGCACCTCCGAAGACAACACTTAACTCTGTTATTTTTCAAAATTTTTTGCAAAATAAAATCCTAAAGTATAGGTGAAAATATACCTTATTACGTTCAAAGTAATTTTTTCCTCTTCAAAATTGAAGTTTCTGTGTTTATTTTTTAAGTAGGGAACCGCGAAATAGATCACCCTTAACTATCCAAAATGATCGAAGTACGTTCTTTGCACAATTAGTTGAGGCAATAGAGTAATAGGGAGAAAGAGAGATAGAGTATGAGTATACTAACAAGTAGTTGCAAACGAAATATAAATTTTTTTTTTTTTTTTTTTTTTTTTTTTTTTTTTTTTTTTTTTTTTTTTTTTTTTTTTTTTTTTTTTTTTTTTTTTTTTTTTTTTTTGATGACTTTGCTACGAGAGGTACTGTATAATAACTACGGAGTTGGAACAACGTCCTACGTGTTCCTGCTAGCGACAGCCTTACCTCACGGCGCTCGAAAGCACAGATGATCAAAAATGTCAGGCATTTTCAGACAGTTTGGAATGGACACACCAGCCACCTAGGTAAGGCTCGAGGCCCATTCTCTTCTGCCGTACTTTGGGTCCGGCTCACGGTTGCAATTCAACTTGGAATCGGAACAGATAGAAGCTCCATTGGCTGCTTGTGGTTTAATACTGGATTGTTGATACTCAAACAAGTTCAGCAAGCATTGACCAACTACCAACAACTTTACCGTCGGAAGGCCGCTTTGGCGACCTCAGAAGGGTCTACCTTTCAATGGTTGCAGGAGTTCTAACTAAACGGGTGTATGAATTAGCCCCCACTGAATTAACCCCCACCGGGCAAAATGACTTAAGCCCCACTAATTTTACAACAAAATTTAAAATGGTGGAAAGTGGGGCTAAAGTCATTTTCGTGGGGATTAATTCTTTTTTTTCGTGGGGATTCCATCATTTTTGGTGGGGAAAGATTCACTGAGAAATTGGTGGGGCTTAAGTCATTTTGCCCGGTGGGGATTAATTCAGTAGGGGCTAATTCATACACCCTAACTAAACATTATCCTATAGGGATTCATGCGGAAAAATAGAACACATTACCGGATGCCAGCTGTATTAACTGTTTGAAAGAAGATGAGATGTGTTCTTCTCAACACTTTCTCCACGATTGTTCGACTTTTGGAAAATAATAGAAATGAAGCACATAAACAGATCTTTGATAGTGCGTTTTGCCGATAATACTTGTAGATATTCCACTACCCTTTTTTCATCTGACTTCACAAATTCATAACAGTCTAAGTATGATCCCCCGCAATGCCGATCTATCAGCCGTATAAACTAATCTAACCTAGAATCGTAAAGTGTAATTTATGCTTAAAAATATTGGGTTTTCTGAAAACCCTGGGATCACCTCACGCCTAATATAGAAAATTATAGATACTCTTTGTAGTTAGTTATCATCAAGAGAAGTGGAATCAAATACTGACATACTCGAGCCGAAAGTTAATATGCCCAAATCAAATTTAATGTCTTTATTTGCGGAGGAGGTACCCACCATGTTCTCGATGACGATGAAATTTAACATATGGGAACTCAAAAAACTGCAGTTAAAGACCTAAGTTTGCGAAACTCACAAATTGATGGCGTAAACCATTGATTAACAATGAAGTAAAAAATTTCAAGTAGAAAATTGTACAAAATCTTAATAATTAAGTGAGTTAATGCATTTCACGAGTTGGTCATGTGATTTACATTTGGTCTGAGTAGCATAGAACATAAATCTGGTTCTTCGCATTGCTTTTGGCAATGTTCATACGTCAAGTTAGAAAGTTTCTTATTGCTAATTTCCGCGAAATTGAGAATCGATAATACAACGAGAGTTTCTAACCACACTTGCCGAAGTATTTATACATACAAAATATTTATTGCATTTTATATGAAGCAATAATGTAGTTTTCTCCATACTACCATACTAATTAAAGTATCTACAGGTCTTCTTTACAATTACTTTTTTAAGGCACGAACCAAACCGCACCAACTAAATCGACTAAACGAACACCACAACCGGTAACTTTTGCGATAATCACGAGTACAGCTTCCACTGCGACCAAAGCGGTACATTTAATGACGCTTAGGTACTGTCACATATACTCATTATGGCAATAGCTCCAGCTCCAGCTATCTATAGACGAGTGGACGAGTATTCGCAAATAAAAACAAAAATAAATAGAAATTTATTTGCAGATAATGACATACATAAAATGTAGGAGTGGAAATTCCTGTTCTTATCGCAATGCCGCCGCCACATTTAAACAAGCCAAGCTGGCGTAGTAAAGACATCCGTCAGTCGTTCGTATGGCTTGAGTTGATCATAAATGCCTGCGAGAGTTTGCAAACAAGCCAAATAACCGGTAAAGTGGTGGTAGAGTTTTAGGTGACTGGCACTGATCAAGTCATATGGGCATATACATATGCATGTGTGTAAGTATATAAATGGTACATTGTATTGCCATCAGGTGTGGCGCTGAAAATTAGCAGAAAGTTGTACTTGTTGAGTGTTTAAATTTTGAAATGCAATTTCTTCGCGGTAATTATGCAAACAATTTATTAATGCATTGCTTTATAATAAAATAATTGATATGGTAATTTTTTCACAGCATTCAGTGGTGTGGTTACTAACCCACTCTTCGATTGTCAACTGACATATTCATACATATTTTTGAAATATATTGTTAGTTATGACAAACAGAGAGGAGAGGAAAGGAATAAAGTTGGGAGAGTTGGTAGTTTTAGAGGTGATTTCGTTAGACTCGTATAAACGGTTTATTATTGGGTAGTCGATAAAGTCTTTTCGTATTTTGTCAATAGATATCGTATAAGACTTAAAAGAAGCAATGTTAACTTCGGTTACACCCAAGCTGTAATACTCTTCACAAGTGCATTTCTCATAGCATAAAGGGTTATAAGACAACTTTATCCTAATTTTGATCGTGCCGCGGGTATCGGCAGTTCCGTGTGCAGAATTTCAGAACGGAAGGGGTTCGTTATACTACAGACGCACACTAAATTGACTGAGCTCGTCACGTTTTTTTTTTTTTTTTTTGTTTTGTTTTTTTTTGTAACGACGCTAGAAAAGTAACGATGCCAAATTTTTCTCGTTCTTTTGACATTTCTCTTCAACTTTAAGAGCGCTACATCCAACTTATGATCGTCATAATAGTCCTGTCGCATCAACAATTGAGCGTCTAGTGAAAGAATTTGAATCCACAGGTACAAAACAAAATGTTCCCGTGTCGATAATATTTCTAAGGCTAATCAATTGAGGAAAACCCAAATCAGTCTTTCCCACGTCATTCTCAAGCGTTTGTCATCTCTGTGACATCGTTTACAATTTACAAGATTAAATTGGCGCAAGAAGTAAACCCCTCTTACCACCAGAATCATCATATGTTCGTGAGTTGTACTGAGCAATAACTTGAAAATGATCCGGATTTTCATCGAAAAATGGAATTTGGCGTTTATTTCCGGCTTAATGGAAATGAATAGTAATCGCTTTTTCTCAATGATAATCGAATGTTTTTGGCACGAATTGAAAGATATGGACCCTCCTGATAACTGGAAAGCAGATCAGAGAAAATTAAAGGATCCGTCATTTACCGAAACCTTTATGACAATAAGCTCCATTCTATCCACATTTCTAACGAAATTTTGAAAAGATCTCACCTTCAAACTAATACAATCTTTCATTGAAAAATGAGGATAGCTGTCGCAAATTGGAACATTTAGCAAAGACAACTTATAATATTTTTTCAAATCATGAGAACCCCTAACCACCATTTAGCAAAGTCGCAATGTGAATATAAATAGGCATGGAAAATCTGAACCTCAGTTAACTAAGCTCTGCTTTAACCATCATAATTCAAACTTAGAGTGTGAATACTCACTATACCCACACTAGGCAATGTAAGTGATCTCAGCTAGATTTAAAATATGGTACAAAAAGCTCTGATATACACACCATAAAGACACCATGAAGGTAGAAATCTGGTAATACTATCCATTTGGCAATACATAACCAATGCAAAACTAGGCGAAGCTGTAGAAGTGCAACATTCTGTTGCAAGCAAAGACGAGATGCAAACCAAAAACCTAAACTCAAGCCACCGCAGTGGCAATGGTGGACGCAACAGTAACAACAGCAGCAACAGCAAAAATTGCATTGCAACGCAGCGCTGCGACTGCAATGGACGCTGTGGGTAAATACCGATTTCGGTTGATTGGAGACCGGCATTGGAGCAGCCAGCCAAGCTGCCAAAGCGCACGATGGCGCGATGAGAAGGCAGCGAGTGAGTGCTCAAGCGTTCAATTCCCACGAAACGTGATTTGTGTTCGTTCGTGTTGATAGTTGTCGTTGGGCGCATTGCTGTTATTGTTGCTGCTATCGTAT